CCTGGAGCCTTGGAACTTGAGCTGCTGGCAAAGACTACTGCTACAAGGCCTGGGCGCACTGACTACCTGGAACAGCTGCCAGATTCTGGGAACACAGTCATGGATTTTAAGGCGGGACTCGGAATGCCTGACCGGCTGTTTGATACCGGGGCTGTCATACAGCGCCAGACAGCCCAGAGGAAAGCATTGCTGACATTGAGAGGTGGCCACTCAAGGCTGATCAATCAGAGGATATGATTATGTGAACCCTTTGGAATGATATGGATTTCTGCACAAATTGGTCATAAAATGTGATCTGATCATCATCTAATTCACAACAATAGACAATCACAGTCTGCTTAAACTAATAACACACAAATAATGAAATGTTGCCATGTTTTTATTGAACACACCATGTAAACATTCACAGTGCAGGTGGAAAAAGTATGTGAACCCTTGGATTTAATAACTGGTTGAACCTCCTTTGGCAGCAATAACTTCAACCAAACATTTTCTGTAGTTGCAGATCAGACGTGCACAATGTTCAGGAGTAATTCTTGACCATTCCTCTTTACAGAACTGTTTCAGTTCAACAATATTCTTGGGATGTCTGGTGTGAATCGCTTTCTTGAGGTCATGCCACAGCATCTCAATTGGGTTGAGGTCAGGACTCTGACTGGGCCACATCAGAAGGTGTATTTTCTTCTGTTTAAGCCATTCTGCTGTTGATTTACTTCTATGCTTTGGGTCATTGTCCTGTTGCAACACCCATCTTCTGTTGAGCTTCAGCTGGTAGATAGATGGCCTTAAGTTCTCCTGCAAAGTGTATTGATAAACTTGGGAATTAATTTTTCCTTCGATGATAGCAATCAGTCCAGGCCCTGATGCAGCAAAGCAGCCCCAAACCATGATGCCCCCACCACCATACGTCACAGTTGGGGTGAGGTTTTGATGTTGGTGTGCAATGCCTTTTTTTCACCACACATAGTGTTGTGTGTTTCTTCCAAACAACTCAACTTTGGTTTCATCTGTCCACAGAATATTTTGCCAGTACTGCTGTGGAACATCCAGGTGCTCTTGTGCAAACTGTAAACATGCAGCAATGTTTTGTTTGGACAGCAGTGGCTTCCTCTGTGGTATCCTCCCATGAAATCCATTCTTGTTTAGTGTTTTACGTATTGTAGATTCGCTAACAGGGATGTTGGCATTTGCCAGTGACTTTTGTTAAGTCTTTAGCTGACTCTCTAGGATTCTTCTTCACCTCATTGAGCAGTCTGCGCTGTGCTCTTCCAGTCATCTTTACAGGACTGCCACTCCTAGGGAGAGTATTGGAGATACTTTTATAACCCTTTCCAGCTTTATGCAAGTCAACAATTCTTAATCGTAGGTCTTCTGAGAGCTCTTTTGTGCGAGGCATCATTCACATCAGGCAATGCTTCTTGTGAAAAGCAAACCCAGAACTGGTGTATGTTTTTTTTATAGGGCAGGGCAGCTGTAACCAACACCTCCAATCTCATCTCATTGATTGGACTCCAGTTTGCTGACATCTCACTCCAATTAGCTCTTGGAGATGTCATTAGTCTCGGGGTTCACATACCTTTTCCACCTGCACTGTGAATGTTTACATGGTGTGTTCAATAAAAACATGGCAACATTTCATTCTTTGTGTGTTATTAGTTTAAGCAGACTGTGATTGTCTTTTGTTGTAACTTAGTTGATAAGATCACATTTTATGACCAATTTGTGCAGAGATCCATATCATTCCAAAGGGTTCACATACTTTTTCTTGCAACTGTATATATTCATTTGGTGATACACCACACTAAGCACTGGAGTGCAGAGAGCTGACAAAGACACTAGGTTGGTGAAACCAATATTGTTTTATTCTAGTTTAACCCCTGAGAGATAGGGAACCTGATGTTAGTAAGTGCTCAGATGAGCTAGGTTTTTGTTTATAGGGATTTGTGTTATATTTATGTTTTCATTTGCTGCTGTCTCCTGTGTGGACTTTGTGATGGAATTTCGGCGAAATGTAAATTTAGTAGGCCGAGATTTCCACCTGGCATATGTGTATGTTGTATCAGTTAGTTAGTTACACGTAGCTAAGATACTGTCATCAATGTACTGAGCATGTGCAGGAATGCAGGAACTGAAATTACAATCCTTTCTCCTTTGTTTCGGATGAGCCATGTGGTCTGCCCATATGAGGAAATCCAAATCCTGTCCACTGATTGGTTAAGGGTATGTGCGGGTGGAGCTATTAATGGGAGGAGTTATAGTTCTATAAAAAGCATGTACTCCATGTGTTCAGCCCTCAGACCTGTTTTGGAACGTTAGTTCATCTGAGGCCCGATCGGTATGTTAATAAAGACCTCTTACTTCCTGAAAACCTGCATCCATCTATCTGTGTCTGGCTTCTGCAAGTTTACTCGGTTACATCTTTGGTGCATTGGGTCCGGGAACCTCATCGCACGGAAGCTGGTGCAGAGATTTGAGACGGTAAACCTTTTACCAATGTTCTCTACGGCAGCACCCCTGAACTTCTGCGTGGACATCCCTTCATCTCTACGCCACTGGGCTGCTTCGCCCAGGAGATCATCGGCCTTTACGTAGTAAGTACCGGGGTGCCCCGTCGATGAGTGTGAGCCCAGGTTCAGGAACAAAGAGATAAGACTGATACCATTAGAGCGGTAGGCCCACAAGGGGTTTTATATTTGGAACCGGTTATTGGATTGCCCCCTCCCTCTGGAGGGAAGAAGCCAAGGAACAACGCTTATCTGGAAATTAGACGCTCTGTAGTCAGCCCGTCTAATATAGGTGGTTTGGGTCAGGCTAAATCTTGGTGTAAATAGTTTATGCCGGACACCGGTGTCCTGTCTTGACTAGCGTGTCTAGGTGTAAATTTCGGTCGATAGGTCGGGGAGGCCGGCGAGACTAAGCAGATTTTGGTGTACATTCCGTCTGCTAGTTCTCAACCTATCTTGGCTAAGTGTGCATGGTTGTAAATTCAGCCACTAGACTATTGATAGAATAGATAGACTAATTGGGTACTGTTGTAAATTCCGCCCACTAGTTCGCTATATGTGGTGCTTGGGCAGCGTAGACTAACCGAATCCTGGTGTAAATAGTTCGATAGTTCTCGAGGTGCTGGCCAATTAGAATAGTTGGGATTAGTGTAAATGTTGTTAAATATACTGTAGTTGGTGAATTGGATGTCCTGCTAGAAAGCTTGAGCTCTGCCGTCTAGTGGGAGTGTAAATTGTGTGTATACTGTATAATAGTGTACGGTATTATAACCATTAACATGTACTATACCTACTGAAAAATTACTAAAAACTGTTGTCTTATGTTATATGTGTAATACCATAACTGTTACTAACTGATCTGTGACTTTAAAACTGTATTATAACCACTTGCTAACCGTACCATAACCACTGATTGTAAAGATGAGGTTACTAGAATGTGATATAGTCGGTTAGTTAAAAGTTGATTTATAATGTGGATAATTGTAGGGTTTGATTTATAGTTACAGAGATAAGTATCTAGTGTTTGGTAAATCTTTGTGAGTGAGACGTCATGATATCACTGTATGTACGAGAATTCTCTGCGTGTTTTCGTGTGTGTGTGTTTGGCCTAGCAACTGTGCCACGTGGTGCTGTTGCCAGGGAAACAAGTGTGATCGTTGGAAGTGTGTTTGAGGTATTGTGTTTCTTTGTATTAGACGTTCAGTTGCCAGTATGGGTGCGTCTGACTCAGATTGTTGATCCCTTGTAGTGTATGTTGAAAAACTTTGCAAAGGGATATAAAGTTTGTGATTTTGGGGTGAAATTATCCCCAAAGCGTTTGACTACATTATGTAGTAGAGAGTGGCCTATCTTGGTGACCGCATGGCCTCCACGTGGTAGTCTTGATCTAACTCTAGTGCAACGTGTGCACGCGGTTGTATCTAGTAGGCCTGAATTCTATGATCAGTTTCCGTATATTGATTGTGGAAGAATTGCCTAAATGGATTAAGGTATGCCACGAGGAGCAATATCGCCTCATGGTGGCCAGGACTCGCCTGTCCATCAGGGCCGCAACCCCGCCCATTTTAGACTCTCCCTCTAAATCTGAACTCCCCCCCCTCCCCCCCACACCCTTACTCCTCCTCTAAAGTTAGAGGATGTGCTGCTGGTGTTGCCACTCCCCCTTTCCCATTGTCCCTGCCCACTCATTCATCTAGTTTAGAGCCCAGCTCACTTGCCCTGATTCCTCCCCTTCCAGCACCTACCTCCACTAGTTCTATATATCCAGAATACTAGTCACCCCTCCTCACTGTCACTAGTCACCCCCCCCACTGTCACTAGTCACCCCCCTCACTGTAACTAGTCACCCCCACTGTCACAAGTCACTCCCCACTGTCACAAGTCACCTCTCACTGTCACAAGTCACCCCCAGTCACTTGTCACCCCCCACTGTCACTAATCACACCCTTCACTGTCACTAATCACCCCACTGTCCACTAGTCACTTCTGTCACTAGTCCCCCACTGTCACTAGTCACACTATCACTAGTCACACTGTCCTAGTCACCTCCCCACTGTCACACACCTACTGTCACTAGTCACCCCCACTGTCACTAGTTACGCCTCTCTACTGTGCCTACTGTGTCACTAGTCACCTGTTACTAGTCGCTCCACTGTCGTCACTAATCACCCTCACTGTCACTAATCACTCCCTACTGTCACTAATCACCCCCCCTGTCACTAAGTCACTATTGTCACACTAGTCACTCTCACTGTCACTAGTCACCCCTTCACTCACTCAGTCACCCCTTCCCTCCCTCACTTTGTCACTAGTCACCCCCTCCCTCACTCTGTCACTAGTTACCCCCTCCCTCTGTCACTGGTCATCCCCTCCCTCACTCTGTCACTAGTCACCCACTCACTCTAGTGACAGTGAGGGAGAGGGTGACTAGTGACAGAGGGAGGGGGTGACTGGTGACAGAGTTAGGAGGGAGTGACTAGTGACAGAGGGAGGGATGGGGTGACACCATGACAGAGAGAGGGGGTGACTGGTGACAGAGTGAGGGAGGGGATGACTAGTGACAGAGGGAGGGATAGCGTGACTAGTGACAGTCACCATCTCCCTCCCTCTCACTAGTCACCCCCTCCCTAATTCTGTCACTAGTCACCCCGTCACTAGTCACCCCTCCCTCACTCTGTCACTAGTCACCCATTCCCTCCCTCACTCTGTCACTAATCACCCCCTCACTCTGTCACTAATCACCCCCTCACTCTGTCACTAGTCATCCCCTCCCTCACTCTGTCACTAGTCACACCCTCCCTCACTCTGTCACTAGAGTAAGGGGATGACTGATGACAGAGTGAGGGAAGGGGTGACTAGTGGTAGAGTGAGGGAAGGAAGGGGTGACTGGTGACAGAGTGAGCAGATGACTGGTTTCAAAGTGAGAGAGGGGGATGACTAGTGACAGTGAGTTAGGGGGTGACTAGTGACAGAGTAAGGGACAAAGGGGGTGACTAGTGACAGAAGGAGGGAGGGAGTAGTGACAGAGGGAGGTGGTGACTAGTGACAGAGTGAGGGAGGTGGTGACTAGTGACAGTCACCACCTCCCTCACTCTGTCACTAGTCACCCCTTCCCTCACTCTGTCACTAGTCACCCCCTCACTCTAGTGACAGTGAGGGAGGGAGTGACTAGTGACAGAGTGAGGGAGGGGGTGACTAGTGACAGAGTGAGGGAGGGAAGTGGTGACTAGTGACAGAGTGAGGGAGGGAAGTGGTGACTAGTGACAGAGGGAGGGGTGACTAGGGACAGAGTGAGGGAGGTGGTGACTAGTGACAGTCACCACCTCCCTCACTCTGTCACCATTCACCACCTCCCTCACTCTGTCACTGTGTCACCCCCTCCCTCTGTCACTGGTCACCCACTCCCTCACTCTGTCACTAGTCACCCCTTCCCTCACTCTGTCACTAGTCACCCCCCTCACTCTGTCACTAGTCACCCCCCTCACTCTATCACTAGTCACCCCCTCACTCTACTGACAGAGTGAGGGAGGGTGTGACTAGTGACAGAGTGAGGGAGGGTGTGACTAGTGACAGAGTGAGGGAGGGAATTGGGTGACTAGTGACAGAGTGAGGTAGGGAAGGGGGTGACTAGTGACAGAGGGAGGGATGGGGTGACTAGTGACAGTCACCACCTCCTTCACTCTGTCACTAGTCACCCCCCTCCCTCACTCTGTCACTGTGTCACCCCCCTCTCTCACTCTGTCACTAGTCACCCCCTTTCTCACTCTGTCACTAGAGTGAGGGAGTGACTAGTGACAGAGTGAGGGGGTGACAGAGTGAGGGAAGGGGATGACTGGTGACAGAGTGAGGGAGGGGATGACTGGTGACAGAGTGAGGGAGGGGGTGACTAGTGACAGAAGGAGGAGGAAGTAGTGACAGGGGGAGGTGGTGACTAGTGACAGAGTGAGGGAGGTGGTGACTAGTGACAGAGTGAGGGAGGGGGTGACTAGTGACAGTTACCACCTCCGTCACTAGTCACCCCTTCCTTCCCTCACTCTGTCACTAGTCACCCCCTCACTCTAGTGACAGAGTTAGGGAGGGGTGACTAGTGACAGAGTGAGGAAGGGGGTGACTAGTGACAGAGGGAGGGGTGACTAGGGACAGAGTGAGGGAGGTGGTGACTAGTGACAGTCACCACCTCCCTCACTCTGTCACTATGTCACCCCCTCCCTCTGTCACTGGTCACCCACTCCCTCCCTCACTCTGTCACCAGTCATCCCCTCACTCTGTCACTAGTCACCGCTTCCTTCCCTCACTCTGCCACTAGTCATCCCTTCCCTCACTCTGTCACTATGTCACCCCCTCCATCTGTCACTGGTCACCCACTCCCTCCCTCACTCTGTCACCAGTCATCCCCTCACTCTGTCACTAGTCACCCCTTCCTTCCCTCACTCTGTCACTAGTCATCCCCTCACTCTAGTGACACAGTGAGCAAGGGTGTGACTAGTGACAGAGTGAGCAAGGGTGTGACTAGTGACAGAGTGAGGGAGGGGGTGACTAGTGACAGAGTGAGGGAGGGGGTGACTAGTGACAGAGAGAGGGAGGGAAGGGGTGACTAGTGACAGAGTGAGGGAGGTTGTGATTAGTGACAGAGGGAGGGATGGGGTGACTAGTGACAGTCACCACCTCCTTCACTCTTTCACTGTGTCACCCCCTCCCTCACTCTGTCACTAGTCACCCCCTCTCTCTGTCACCAGTCATCCATTCCTTCCCTCACTCTGCCACTAGTCATCCCTTCCCTCACTCTGTCACCAGTCATCCCCTCACTCTGTCACCAGTCACCCTTTCCTTCCTTCACAGTGACAGAGTTAGGGAGGGATGGGGTGACTAGTGACAGAGAGAGGGATGGGGTGACTAGTGACAGAGAGAGGGAGGGGGTGACTAGTGACAGAGTGAGGGAGGGGGTGACTAGTGACAGAGAGAGGGAGTCACTTGGTAATCTAAGGGGGGACTTGAATCAGTTGGGTGAAGGAATTACTCAGCAGCAGGTTGTAGAGTTTGGTAAAACTATGGAGGAAGTAAAGAAATGGGTGCAAGATAGGTTACCTGTGAACATATATCCACCTGTTAATTCCTATCAACCGGGAGATCAAGTGTGGATAAAATAATGGAAAATGTTGAATATATGTTGTTCTTTTATCTACTCCAACAGCTGTAAAGGTGGCAGAAGTGACTCAGTGGATTCATCATTCTAGGGTTAAACCAGCAGCAGATTCTTGACAAGCTATTCCAGATTCTGAAAATCCTTGCAAGATCCGGTTAAAGCGGGTAGCTCAGTCGGAGTGAGAAATAATACGAGGAGATCTTGGGACATCTTAGTTGAAAGTAACAGATATCAGCAAGTAGGTGTTTTGACAGCCATAATAAAGCCTGACCACCTACCTACGTGTCATAGCCAGAGTGTCTCGAAGGGACCTCTGTGAAGAAAAGTAAGGATCAGAAGAACGACAATCCTTGCAGCCCTCACAATCGGGAAGCTGAGGTGCCGTCGCACGGTCGAAGAGTAGAAGTGAGGACTTCTGAAATAATGTTATATTATGTGTTTAGGCATTTTTGTGATTTTTCAGGAAGGTAAAGGTGAGGACATACAGAGTTGTGTTAGCTGCATTAAGACTACAAAAACAGGTAACCAAATATCCCAAACTCTCATTTGGCACTCACAGTATGAGTGCAGGGGATCTGTATCTAAGTGTAGATATTTAGATTTAGATTGCAGTGTGTGCAAACCAATATCAGGAGAGCCTAAATGTTTTGATCCCCAATTCCAACCCCGTACAATTTGGTTGGTAATTCGGAACAGTAACTCCCAGGGGACCTTGATAAATAGGACTGTGATAAATACTATACATTCTACGGGCATTCTACTATTTGATGCATGTAAGGCGATTTCTGGTAGTGGAAAACCTTGGAATGTATGTGGTAATCTTAAATGGGAACTAACTTATGGGTTTAATGATAAATTCTTATGTCTCAGTAAAAGATCTACTGATCCTGATTGCCCAAATAGGGATTTTAATTTTTGTCCATATTGGTCTTGTGTAGGGTGGGCGACCTGGGGAAAAACAGTGGATGAAGATATGATTATCCAAAGGTTGCCCACTACACCACACTGTAAGTCTATGGAATGTAATCCTGTCCATATGACCATCTCTAATCAACAACATTTTATTGATAAGTTTGGAAATCTATTTGGGTTCCAAATATATGGCACAGGAGTAGATCCAGGGACCATAATATATGTAGGACTTGAAACTGAGACGATAGCAACTCAAACTCATCAGGTTTTTCAATCCTTTTATGTGGAGATGAGTGTTGAGGATAAAATTCCCCATAAAATACTAAAGATGATCCCTGGCCAAAAAGCCACAGGAACACAAAAAGAGTTCTCTGGGTATTGCAATTACATATGAAAATAAAATAAAGTAAAAATCCTCTTTATTGTAGGGTATAAATTCCCCAAAAATAAAACTTAACAAAAACCTAACACACACTAAAGAGAAATGAAAGGAGTAAAATAATTTAGGTGAGGAAGGAGAGGTGAAAATAAAGTGATACTAAAAAGTATCACAGCAGAAACAATCTTAGTACACAGCAATGAGCTATGTCTCCCCTAAATAATATAGCGATCTAGGTAGCAGCTATCCTGTGTTACAAAGTATAGCAATTGCCAAATGTTAGCCCTAAATGCTGATCTATGGATACAAAGTATCCTCTAAAGTAGCAACAGCTAGTGAGCGTAGAAGGCAAAAGAAATAAACCGGACTATCTGCTACCCAGGATTCCAGACTAAAGACACTAATGTAGCCTATGTTATGAGAGGGATTCCACTAGAGATCCACAATTCTATACGCTAAGGCTACCCATATAGTAAAGGAGTCCGTCTGTAATAAATCCTAATCGCTACCCATCACTCTAGATAGATTTCTCAATCATTCCTCTATAACACCTAATGTGCATAGAAAAGTGCTGTGAGTAAAATAAATAAGGCATAAATCCTAACACACGTTTCGGCGCTACCCAAGCGCCTTTGTCAAAGGTAACCGAGGTACTGGCTGGATGTTCACTTTATACCTGTAATTGCAATACCCAGAGAACTCTTTTTGTGTTCCTGTGGCTTTTTGGCCAGGGATCATCTTTAGTATTTTATATATATCTCTAAGGGTTACCCCCTTATAGGGTTCTCTTGACACACCGTGGATTCCATTTTTTTTGGAAAATCCATGTTCTTGTTTTGTTCAGTCTATAAAATTCCCCATAATGTTAAGAACCTATTTATTGATTTGGCTGAGAGTATTGCGGGTAGTCTTAATGTAACTAATTGCTTTGTATGTGGAGGTACTAATATGGGAGACCAGTCGCCATGGGAGGCAAACGAAGTATGGTACCCTGGTTCTGAGACAGATGAACAACAAATACTTTCTCAGTCTGATCATCAAGTAAGTACTAGAGGTAAATCAGAGTGGCGGTTAAAAACCTCCATTATATGTCATGTATGTTTAGCCAGGAAAGGGCCATTGTATACCACACCTGTTGGCAAGTTAATATGTCTAGGACAGAAAACCTATAATGCCGACACTAAAGATACTACTTGGTGGTCAGCTTCAAATGTCTCAGAGCCTACTAATCCATTTGCCAATTACACCCATTTAAAAGAGGTATGGTTTGACTTATCTGCAACATCCAATTGGAAAGCCCCAGCGAATTTATATTGGATCTGTGGTAAGAAAGCATTTTCAGAGTTACCACAAGATTGGGAAGGGGCATGTGTATTAGGTATGCTCAAACCATCCTTCTTCCTGTTGCCAATTAAGACAGGAGAGACCTTGGGAGTTAAGGTTTATGATGTAAATCATAAAAAGAAGCGAGCATCCATTAATATAGGTAGCTGGGAAGATGATGAGTTGCCTCCCCAACGCATTATTAATTATTATGGACCTGCTACTTGGGCAGAAGATGGTACCTATAGATATAGAAGCCCAATATATATGCTCAACCGTATTATAAGACTACAGGCGGTGGTTGAGATTATCACTAATCAGACAGCTCAAGCACTTAATCTTCCAACTAAGCAAAATACTCGGATGAGATCAGCCATCTATCAAAATAGATTAGCTCTGGACTACCTATTAGCAGTAGAGGAAGGTGTATGCGGAAAGTTTAATCTCAGCAACTGTTGTTTGCACATAGATGATGAAGGGCGGGCAGTGGCTAAACTTACAAGCCACATGGTTAAACTGATGCATGTACCTACTCAGGTCTGGAATGGGTATATTCCTAGTAGTTGGTTTGGAAGTTGGTATGAGCAGCTTGGAGGGATTAAGGCGTTAGTAGGAGGAGTAGTATTTATTATATTCTTATGTTTCTTTCTGCCCTGCCTAATTCCATTAGTGGTCAGATCTATACGTAGTATCATTAGAGTACTATAGAAAGAAAGACAGCTGTTCATGTAATGGCTGTCTACAAATATGAATCCCTAGCCCAAAGAGAACGTATTCAGGATGAGGAATGCTGAAGGAGTTTGTGATGATGCTAAGATGCTTACAAGGTCTGCTCTGGTCCAATGGCTACTTGAGAGGTGTTGGTAAACTATGATTGGTGATGCATCTGGAATAATTTTGTATCAGAGGCATCAAAGGGGGGAATGTGATGGAATTTCGGTGAAATGTAAATTTAGTAGGCCGAGATGTCCACGTGGCATATGTGTATGTTGTATCAGTTAGTTAGTTACACGTAGCTAAGATACTGTCATCAATGTACTGAGCATGTGCAGGAATGCAGGAACTGAAATTACACTCCTTTCTCCTTTGTTTCGGATGAGCCGTGTAGTCTGCCCATTTGAGGAAATCCAAATCCTGTCCACTGATTGGTTAAGGGTATGTGCGGGTGGAGCTATTAATGGGAGGAGTTATTGTTCTATAAAAAGCATGTACTCCATGTGTTCAGCCCTCAGACCTGTTTTGGAACGTTAGTTCATCTGAGGCCCGATCGGTATGTTAATAAAGACTGCTTACTTCCTGAAAACCTGCATCCATCTCTCTGTGTCTGACTTCTGCAAGTTTACTCGGTTACAGACTTACAAATAAAGTGCCTGGATTATATGAAAATAAAAGGACTGTGCCTGTTGTTTACCCTAGAGGACCGTGCTATTTGCAAACAAGGATCACACCACATACACACTAATACAATGTTACAGAGCAACTGCAGCACCCATAAATAACACAAGCACAATACAGCAACATACACACTTCAGTTATAAAAAAATAGGATCAACACACCAAGGGATTTCAAGATCTTGTTCTGGCACAGTATTTCTAAAAGGTTGCGTACCCCTTCTAACAGGTGCCTCATACCACAGCCCTACTTAGCCTTGACCTGCAGAGAGTCCCAGGAATAAGTATTTCCTAAGTAAGTGGATTCATCTCCTAAGAGCAAGCATTAGGCTGCTAGAGTAGGACCTGCCGAGAATAGGGTACATTAACATTGTGGCAGGCTTTTGCAATGTATGATCATATACTGTAACTAAGCCCCCATTATTTTCTGCCTAGGTGAGGTGTTTTTCAATAAAACTATTACAATCTGTGAGACTAGAAATTAGTATTTAGTGAATGAGTAAGTGCGCTGGTTTTTGTATGTTGTATAAATTGGTCCCAGCAGCACCCTATAATGTATGGGTGCTCATGTTCAGGTGAGTGCAGCCATCTTGGTTGGTTATATATATATAACAGTTCAAAAGCT